CGGCCCGGCCCCCCCGAGTCGGGGAGGGACTGGGGATCGCGGGGCGCAGCCGGCCCCTCGCCGAGCGACCTTGTAACGACAGCCCTCGCGTGACAGTCGCTTCCTACCTCACAAAGCACTGCCCTGCGGTTTTCTGGATTCATCGCTCACATTCCCGGAGGCCCTGGGGCCGCGGGGCGCTCCCTCACACCGAGGGCGAGGGCCAGGGCCGTGGCTTCTCGCGCGCGCAGGAGTTAGCCAGACCCGGGCCGAGGGCTCGCCGGCTGCGCCCCAAGTCCATCCCTTTTACCAGTCGCCTGCCTTCCCGTCTGAAACAGGGGTGATCAGTTCTTCCCCATGAGGATGTTGCGAGGTTCCCCTCCTGCCACTTGTTTTCTGAGCCCCTGACCTGTGCCAGGACCTGCGCTAGGAAAGTTTGTCAGGCGCCCAGGAGTCCTGCGCGCTTGGCCAGCGCCCAGGGAGTGGCCGTTGGATCCAGAGACCGGCAGAGTGGGGTCAGGAGTGCGGCCCCTGGATAGCTAGGTTGCCTGGGGACAGGTCCCTCTGGGGATAATGATGGTGCTGGGATTGTTGACCGAATGACATGAGCGGCGTGGGGAGTGCTTAGCTGGTGGAAACCCCGTGAATGTAAACTATGTGTGAACAAATGTAATAATGAGCGGCAGAGCATTCCACATATGACAACTCTGTGCTGGTTGGGCTCATTATTGCAGAAGGAAGATGCGGCCAGTTTATGTGTGACTAAGTCTGTTCACTGAGCCAGGGCAGGTAGCTGCAGTAATAGCTCTCCCCGGTGTGTGGCTCCTTTACTCCTGTACCAGCCATGTGGGAAAAACACAGTTTGAGTCCTCCTTTTGCAGGTGAGGAGCTGAGGTTAGCACAGAGGTGAAAGAGCTTGCCCCAGGGAGCCAGCCGTCAGTGGCGGTCCCAGGATTCACGAGTCCTTTTCAGGCTGTCTAGGCCACCCCTTGTGGTGAAGCTCAGTTGCAGGCTTTTCCTTGCCTTTACCTCATTTAATTCTCAAAGCAGCCCTAGTGGTCCTGTCAGCATAGTGTCATTGCTGACATTATCGAAGCGAGGCAGCTGCTGCTCGGGTCCGCGCTGCCAGAGTCGTAAGGCGAGTCAGTGCAGAACGGGATCCCCACGCAGGCAGAGCCACGCCCGGCCCCTCAGCGTTTCCCAGTCTCCTGGGATCGGCAGTGGGAAGCTGGGGTCTGGACCCAGCCCTGCCACTCGGTCACAGTGGGCCTCCGCAGCCTCTGAGGCCTGGATGAGAGCGCCCCAGTGAGGGTCGCTCCGGGTCCCCTGCCATGCTCTCACCGGGTTACTGTTTCTCCCTTCTCCTAGCCTGACGCCCAGCCCCTGCCGGTCCCCCATGGCCCCGTGGAGCCGATCGGCGGTGCTGAGTCTCTACCGGGCTCTGCTGCGCCAGGGCCGAGAACTTCGCTACAGCGATCGAGACTTCTACTTGGCCTCCATCCGTCGTGAGTTCCGGAAAAATCAGAAACTGGAGGATCCCGAGGCCCGGGAGAAGCAGCTGGAAAAGGGCCTGGTCTTCCTCCATAGCAAACTGGGGGGGCTGGTTTAGAATCCTTCCCCTTTCTCTCCCATCCTAACTCCAAGGGGGAGGACGCGGTGCCTACTGTGACTGCTGCTGCCTCCCAGCCCCGCCTCCCAGATGCGGTGAGAAGCCTCAGGTGGGTAGGCCCTTGGCCCCGGGGTTTCATTTTTGTCTCATGCAGGTGACCATCAGAGGACGAACCTTTCCTGCTAGTGACCAGAGTCCTTTGGTCATTGGAAAAGAGGAGGTAACACATGCTATCAGAGATATGTTCCCTGGAGGAAAATAGGTGTTAGATTTTAAGCACCAGAATTATTGTCATCATTTCATGGAACATTTTACATGTGAAAATGTGGAGAAGGACTGGTTACAGCAGTCAGAGCTGAGTTTCAGGCTGGCTCATTCTTTAGGGGATTTAGTGATCTCGTGGGTAAGGTCGCGCTCCCCACCGAGCTATTCTGCTACAACCCCGCCTGTCAGACGAGCGTGGGACAGAGACTTCGAGGGCAGTCCCTGCTGCACGGCCTGGCGTTGCTCCTCAGAGCTGGGGGACTTAGGGCGAATCCCCGGACTTCGCAGGCCTCCGCCTCTTCACTTGTGAATGGAAATTCCAGTCCACATCCTCCAAGTTACCTGGAGAAGGAGGCGCACGCACACGGCCCCAGGTGTGCTACGTGGCGGGTGCCTTTGCCCCGTTTGCTGCTGAAACCACGCGAAGCTCTGAGCTAACGGTACTGAGCTCCTCCACTGTCCCCGTGGCCTGCTCAGGGGAGCTGGGGGGAGGGACGCATGGTGCCCGGTCAGGCGTGCAGTCCAAGTGGGAATTGATGCTGCCACTCTGCCTTGGTCTGTGGCATCACAGGTGGCTGCTAGAAGAGAGGCCATGGCGGCCAGCCTGCAGACAGAGAACAGGCGAGGTGGTGGAGGCTGCTCTTTGTGGTCTGGAAACCTGAATCTGGCGGGGTGGAGTGGTGCACCCGAGGGGAGGCTGTGGTGGAGGCTGGGCCAGGGTGGGGGGGTCAGTGGCTCCCTGGTGAGACTGCCTATCTGATAGTGGGGACCGCCACTGCTGTCTGGTAGGGGTGACATGGAGGGATTGAGGCCTGGCAGTGGAGAATAAGTAGGGAGACCTGGAGGCCGCAGCTCTGGCCAGGTGTGATGGGGGACTGAGGTGGCGGGTGGGATTGGGGCCAGCTGGCTGGGGGGGAGGGAGAGAGGCGGCGGGCTGAGTGTGCGGTGCCCACTGGGTAGAGGGTGCTGTTGTAACAGGGAAAGCAGGAGGAGGAGCCTCACATAATGGCTCCCCTCCTCCTCTCAGAACTTGGGCTCTGCCACCTCGCCATGCAGAGCCAGGGGTGAGAGGAGACCCACGGGAGCCCGCCCTTGCTGCGGGGGAGATGGCGAGTTACTGGAGTCTTTGTGTCCCCAGTTTTTGTTGACTGTGAGCTGGGCCACTGTCACCACCCCCAAAGCGAAAAACCAAAAACAAGCCAGAGGGTCACTAGCTCCTTCCTGCAGCAGCTTTACTATGTCGGACAGCATTGATTTGGGGCGTTGTGTGACTGAGCCATAGTGCCCCCAAGAGCGCCTGGTCTCGTGGTTAATAGAGAGGTGCTGGGGATGAGGTGCGCTCCAGGCAGTGGGGAGCCGGGTGTACTGCTCCCCCGTAGCAGAGCTCTGGGCTCAGATCTTGGTGGCCGGCCTGTGGCTTGGCGACCTTGTGTCGGTACCTGCCTGCGCCGCCTCACTCGTGAGGTGCAGATAGCGACGTGGCTTTCAGTGGTGTGAGGACTGGGGCCACTCGCCAGGTGTCCAGCCCGCGGTGCGCCTCTTTGGTGCCAAAGTAACTTGGAGTTTGCTTAGTTTGGAGCTGTAGGGCCTTCGTTACTCATCCCCACTCTGTACGGGTGAGGTCTTTCTGTTCCCGTCTTTGTAGCTGGGGCAACAGGTTAAATAACCTGCTGGCGAAGTTAACATTCTCCCTCCCCAGCGCTGCCATGTCAGTGTCCCCTTTTTCCTTCCTTTTTAAAAAAGATTTATTCATGCACACAAAAATTGGGGTGCAGGCCAGAGCTGCGGGGGGGTGAGGGGATTCAGCAGAGACAGCGTGGGGAGCAGAACAGGCAGATGGATGAAGTCCACTGCTGAGGGGAGCAGCGGGCGGGTCAGGAGAGGTCTGCCGAGCCCTGTGGGTCGCTCCCTGGCCGGGGATCAGACTCGTGCTGCAGTGGCCGCGGACAGTTTCATAGTGCTGTACTTTAACCGCTTGCACCACCAGGGGAGGCCCCCTTTTCTTCCCTTTTTATAAAACCCTTGTCACCATTTTAAGCGCACAGCCGTGCTAAGACTGTCCACATTGTCGCGCCACAGAGCTCCATGACTTTCACGTGGCAAAAGGAAACGGTCTTCCCATTTGACAGCAGCAGAGGGGCCACGCCCCCTCCCCTTGCTCTGGCTCCGATCCTCGTAGGGCCAGGCCAGCGCCGGAGCCCCGCGGACATCTTTGGCAAATGGCACTGTGGGCTGGATCGAGGGCCTTTCCAGAATAGGATTTCCATCTCCCCTTTGGGTGGCCTCGCCTCTCCTCAGTCGCCAGGTCTCTGCCGGCACCGCCCTGGGGTGGGGCGCGTCTGCCTAGTAGGAAGCGCCCCTTCACCAGTCAGTCCAGTGACAGTGCCGGCTCCTCCCGCCAGCACGGCTGCTGTGAATGCAGAGCCTCTGCGCCCGGCCCCGGGTGATGACTCAGCGCACTGCTGGACCACTCGGCCTCTGCGGCTTGGCCCTCTGGCCTGCAGGTGGGGCGCCCACCACTTCACCCGCGGTGGGGCTTGTGTGTAGTCTCTGGGGCAGCGCTGCAGCGGTCCTTTTCCTCCCGCAGCTTCTGGTTCGGGCCGTGCAGGTGGCCGATGGCTCCCTCAGCAGGGCGGCGGAGTAACTCAGGTCGCCCAGATCACTCCTCCCAATGTCAAGTCCTCCACCGGTTTCCCCCTGAACCGGCTTCTTGTTCTCAGGCCACATCCCCACTCGCGGGCTGCGTGACCCAGAGGAGTTCTGGCTTCTGCGCGCGGCCCCTGCTGTGGGCGATGCAGCCGGGCTCGGCCCTGTTTGATTCTGGCTGCTGCAGGGCGAGGGCCACCTGCTGCCCATTCTTCCTGACTGGGGCCCTGCCTCAGTTGGACAGACCCTCTTGGCCATGGAGGTCAGCTGGCGCCCCCGGCCCCACCTGCCAGTATCAGCTGCGACTCAGGTCCTGGCCGCGCTGCTCTGTGCATGAGAAGCGGGGCTCTCTGGGGGCTCTCGGGGTGCGTTTCACTTGGCCACGCAGTTTCTTGTTCTGTGAACCTTGAATAGCAGTTCCCAAGCTTCTGTTGGCTGTAAAAGATGTGGAGAAGCACCATCAAGGCTGGGGACTCCTGTTCGGGAAAGGGTTTCTGGACTTGGCAGTGATTCTTGGTTGCTCAGTTGTGGGGTCACTCAAGCCAGAAAGTTTTTTGGCGGGAGGAGAAGGCAAGAGGCAGGAAGTGTGCCATGGCGAGACCCGGCGGTGTCAGGGTGTCGCTCCGCACTGAAGAGGCTGCGTAGCCCGCTGTCGCGTCTCACACCCTCCACACGGAGCCCCGAAGGGCAGTTTGTTCTTCCTGCGGCGTTGGTGGCGCATGGGACGCGGACGAGACCAGAGTGGCGGTGTTAGGAGCGAGCCCGATCTGCACTGCTCTGCCGCCCCGATCTGGGCGGGCCCAGGGCTCTGGCTCCGAGGGAAACGGGCTCCCTTGGGGCTGCGGGGCACGTCCCAGGGGCCCGCTGTGGGTGCCGGGAGTGCGGTGTGCGGGAGCCAACCCCTAGCGCCGTGTCCTCGGCTCCTGCCGGGCGGCCACATTTTAAATCCCCTTCCAGGCGCGTTTGAGCAGATTGTTTTCCAGTTAGTCTCCAGCTTCAGTCCCACGGTGCCAGCCTCACCTGGCTACTTGTTTTTTCCTGGGCAGGTGGGCAGGTGCCCATCTAGGGGCCTGTTGCCCTTCTGTGTGCAGGGCCTGGGCCGTGCTGGGTAGACTGAGGGCCACTGCAAATTGACTTGATGTGGTAAAGGCTGCTCAGCAGGTGTTGGGGCTTGCCGGCCTGCACCCTGGAGCCTCAGGCAAGCCACCTCCTCCACGGGAAGTGCTGCCCTGGGGTTAGGGTCAGCCCACCACCAGCATTGTCACGTTGGGAAGGGGCAGGATACTGTGGCCTTTCACTCCCGTGCCAGAGAGGGTGGCGGGAGCTTGGTGCGCTGTGATCTCCAGTAGGCGCGGGGAGGTGTGGCCACGGCGAGCGCGGTCAGCTTCTCGCCTTGCGTGCACGTCGTCACGTGAGCCGGCGCCGTGAGCTGGCCTCGCCGCGCCACGCTACGCTAGAGCATGCAGTGCTGGGGACTTGGGTTGCTGGGATTCAGGGGACCGGCCCGACGGGGTGCCGGTTGGTGATGCTGTGTTCCTGCCCCCGCCGCAGGTGAGCCATGGCAGGCGCGGGTGAGCGCAAAGGCAAGAAGGATGACAACGGCATCGGCACGGCCATTGACTTTGTGCTCTCCAATGCCCGGCTGGTGCTGGGGGTGGGCGGAGCAGCCATGCTGGGCATCGCGACGCTGGCGGTGAAGCGGGTAAGTGCCTGCAGCCAGGGCCGGCGGGAACACCGCCCCAGCCCTCCCCAGGCTGTCCACCGCTGATGGGCTCAGCCTGACTGCTCAGCAGCATCAGCTGAGCCCTGGAGACTGCAGTAGGCTGTGGTTGGTGTTCTGCCCTGGGGAAGCCTCTAGTGAGGAAAATACTGGCAGTGCCCAGAGCCCCCTTCCGGCTCGGCCTCCCTTAAAAAGGCAGCACCGCTGTTTTCACCCACTTCCTCTTTTCATTTCCTCCCTTGTTTTTCTCACCATTTCTCCATTGTTTTTTCTCCCTCCTCCTCCTGCTTTCTTCCCCTCCCTCTTCATTTGTCACGGTTGACGTTCGACTGTCTTCATGCCTCAGCGTGTGTGTTACATATTGCCTGTGTCTCCTCACTGCACTGGAAGCTCCTGGAAGGCAGGATTGGGTCCCTTGGTTTGCTGTTTTCTCTGCAGCTAGAACAATACCTGACACGTGGTAGCCTCTTGATAAGTATTTGTTAGATAAACGAACCTGTATTTGATAGTATGGTCTGTTATGTTGTATAGTTGGAAAATTTTGATGCATTCATTAGTGATGCAGGAAAATGTTAAAGTAAAAAAAAAAAAACAAAAAAACAGGTTTCAAAAGTATTAGAGAAGACGAGTCCTAATTACATAAGTAAACATTCCAGAAGGAAATACACCAGAGTGTTACCGATTACTGCTGGTTGTGACAGGCGGGTAATCTGTCTCTTACTGGCGTCATTTACTACTCCTGAGGTTTCCGCCTGGAGCAGAGCAGCCATCATCTAGCATAGACAGTCGTTGAAGAATGGTATCTTAGCGTGGCAGGGCAGGGCCGCTGGGGAGGCGCAGCGGGGGGAGGTACACGCCAGGCTCTGGTTGCAGATGTACGACCGGGCGATCAGCGCCCCCACCAGCCCCACCCGCCTGAGCCACTCGGGGAAGAGGAGCTGGGAAGAACCAAACTGGATGGGCTCCCCCCGTTTGCTGAACAAGGACATGAAGGCCGGCCTGAGCAGGTCCCTGCAGACGCTCCCCACAGACTCCTCGGCCTTTGACACAGGTGAGGAGGCTGCGACAGGTGGCCGGCTCCCTGGGCTCTCGGGACTCCTGCTTCCAGCAGGTGCTTCCCGGGCACAGACGTGCCGGGCCCCACGCGAGCCCTGTGCGCCAGGCCCTTCTCCTTTCCGGGGCTGAGGCCGTTGCGGACGGCCGAGCATGGGAAGCGCTCACGTGCCCCTCTCTCTTGCCTTGGCAGATACATTCTGCCCGCCCCGGCCCAAGCCATTGGCCAGGAAGGGCCAGGTAGACTTGAAGAAGTCACGACTCCGCATGTCCCTGCAGGAGAAACTGCTTTCTTATTACCGGAACCGGGCAGCCATCCCTGCCGGTGAGCAGGCTCGGGCCAAGCGAGCTGCCGTGGACATATGCGCCGAGCTCCGGAGCTTCCTGCGGGCCAAGTTGCCTGACATGCCCCTTCGGGACATGTACCTGAGCGGCAGCCTCTATGACGACCTGCAGGTAATGGGTGGTTCTCGCCAAGAGCGGGTGTGCTGACGGGAAGCCCGGCCGCCGCTTCGTGTGCGGTGTGCTGCGCCGCCCTTGGAGACCCCGTGCTCGGTCTCGCCGCTCTCGTTCTTAGTTGTCCTCGCACCTTGAGGGGCGCTGTGGGAGCCGCCTCCTTTCTGCAGCCGTGGCCCCTCTCTCTTCTCCTGGTCTTCAGGGCCTGAGGGGCAACACCTTAGGTACTTCCCTGCCTCGACCTGGTAAGGCTCGTGGCGTGAGCAGACCTGGGTTAATCCTCACCTGATGTGAACTGAAATGATGACACAGAAGCGTTCTTAGTTCCTTGGGTGTCTGGGAGAATGCGGGTGGTGGGGCCCGTGCTGGGGGAAGTGCATCCCGCAAAACCCTTTTAATTCTGCCCTGACAGGTGGTGACAGCCGACCACATCCAGCTCATCGTGCCCCTTGTGCTGGAGCAGAATCTGTGGTCTTGCATCCCTGGCGAGGACACCATCATGAACGTCCCTGGCTTCTTCCTGGTTCGCCGTGAGAACCCGGAGTACTTTCCTCGTGGCAGCAGTTACTGGGACCGCTGCGTGGTAGGGGGCTACCTCTCCCCCAAGACAGTGGCAGACACGTTCGAGAAGGTGGTGGCTGGCTCCATCAACTGGCCGGCCATAGGGTCCCTCTTGGACTACGTGATCCGCCCCGCCCCGCCCCCGGAAGCCCTGACCCTGGAAGTTCAGTATGAGCGTGACAAGCATCTTGTCATTGACTTCTTGCCATCAGTGACCCTTGGTGACACCGTCTTGGTGGCCAGACCGCATCGCCTCGCCCAGTATGACAACTTGTGGAGGCTGAGCCTGCGTCCTGCTGAGACGGCGCGCCTGCGGGCTTTGGACCAGGCCGACTCAGGCTGCCGGTCTCTGTGCCTCAAAATCCTCAAGGCCATATGCAAGTCCACCCCGGCTCTGGGCCACCTCACTGCCAGCCAGCTCACCAACGTCATCCTCCACTTGGCCCAGGAGGAGGAGGACTGGGCCCCAGATATGCTGGCCGACCGATTCCTGCAGGCCTTGCGGGGACTCATTAGCTATTTAGAGGCTGGCGTCCTACCCAGTGCCCTGAACCCCAAGGTGAACTTATTTGCAGAGCTCACCCCTGAAGAAATAGACGAATTGGGGTACACTCTCTATTGCTCATTGTCTGAGCCGGAAGTGCTGCTGCAGACGTAGGCAGGCGAAGGCCGGCGCGGCGGCGGCGCTCAGGCCCCGGCTCAGACAGGCACCCCGGGCTGCGTGGCCGGGGCCTCACGAGCTCCCGGGTCCGTCTCGGTGGTCTCGCGGCCACTTCACGCCGACTAGAATGACCTCTCCTGCTGCCCTAGTTTCTCACCCGGCCCTTTCTATTTTTGTTACCAAGCACTGTGCACCCCTCTTCCCCTCCCTCTTGCTCCAAGCTGATTTTTCGGGAATGAATTGAAAAGACGGAGAGGAGCTCTGGCGGAGCCGGGGGCCGCTTGGAGTTTGTGTTGGGCTCAGGCCTCTGCCTCTGTTGCCCTCTGGCTGTTCCTTCCGGTGGCGCCTCTGTCCTCTTGCTCACGTCTTCTGTTCTGTGTGGAGCACATCTGCCTCATCAGGATGTTGCCTTCTAGCTGAATGTCACTGGAGGGTTTGACTGCATGTTTCCAGCTGACCTCTGCGCAGCGCGTGCCCAGCAGTATTTATAGTCTCTGGGGTACAGCTGGCGGGGCAGCTGGCTTTGACCTGGTCCCGGGTAGAGAAGCCTGCGCCCTCCTGACCCGCTCGCCTTCCGAAGTGCTGAGAAGGTCCCTCGTGGGAACACGGCTCTCGGCCCACACAGTGCACAGGCTCATGATAAACCGGATGCAAAGTTACTTGGGGACTGTGCTTCTTGGTGGCCGGGAGCGAGCGCAGAGGGGGGTGGTGAGGTTGCCGGCCTCGGGCGTGAGAGGCTGTGTGCTCCCGAGGGCTCTGGTGGTGCTGGAGTCAGACAGGGAGGGAGGGCTCGGGCGCCTTCAGGGTCACAGGCGGGGAGAGTGGCGCCCCGTGTTTCCTCCCCTCAGGCCCTGCCTTGTTAGACCAAGAACAGGCCCCACAGCCAGTCCTTCATCCCGTGTGGCCCCAGGAGCTGCTGTGTGCTGAACTCTGGGCCCTTCACCCCTCCTGGTCCCGCCTGCGGGAGACGTGCTGCTGGGCAGAGGGTGCACGGATGAAACCAGGGGAGGAGTGGGGTGCCGCCTCCCTGTTCCCGCTGCTACAGTTGCACTATTTATTGCAGTGTAAAGAGTACCCGGAGGTGGGGAGGAATGTTTAATACACAGTGTCTGTGCATCTTCTTGTTCTGTTTTTCCGTTTTCCCCACTTGTGGCAAGGAACTGATAAATCTGTTTCTGACCAGCCCATCTTTTTCTCCTCTTTCTTCCTCTCCATCAGAGGTTGTGGTGAAGCGCGCTCGGCAGTCTCATCCCCTCCCAATGACAGTGACACACAGGGACTAAATCCACCCTTGGTTTGGGTTGGGAGTCCTGCCCCTGCCCCTGCCCGTCATGGGTTAGGGGTTGAGGGGGGGTTAGCCCGCGCAGTATCTGGGGAAGCCTGCTCTGCCCCCACATGCAAGGGCTTCTTAAGGCGACTTCCCTCGGCTCATTTGTGTGAAGATACTGCAAGAGAATGACAAATCCGAAGCTGTTTCCTGGCTGTGGATCAGACTCAGATGGAGCTTTGAGAATCAGTAATGCTGAGCGCTGCCCGGCACAGCTGCTGCAGAGCCCTGGGCAGGCCGCAGCGACGGTGCCAGCTTGACATCTGGTGTCCATTACAGGGAAGGGGGAGAGGGAAGGTGGACGAAGTGCGGCCAAAGCGTGGGTTCTTCGCTGAGATGGGGGTTGTTCCCAGGCATGTCTCGACCAGATTCCATGTAAAACATGGGAGGGAGAAGCTCAGACGTCCCAGATTATCCAAGCCAGCAAGCCAGGTGTCGCTGCTTTTAGGAAGGGAAGCGATCTCACCTCATCTCTTACACAGCGTCCGTGTCAGGGCATCTCTGGTTTCACAAAACCAGAAGCCATAACCGCCCCTTCAGAAATTAGAAATTCTTAGAAGTTCTCAGGACTGGGAGCAGTGGGGATTCTTGGCCATGGTCTCCAGGGCTGCAGATGTACTGGGCAAGCCCCGTAACACAGGAGACGAATTCTTAGATAGGAGGGGGCCACCCTGCTCCCCTGCCCCTCCCCCCAAGTTTTTAAGTCTTTGGGGAAATAGAGTGCCTTTCTCCACCGGTTCCCTACTTGGCAACTCTTCCCCCTCCTACCCCGCCCTGATTCCTTAGGTCATAGCATCTACTCTTCTCAGTTTGGACATTGTTTTGCAATATCAAAGTTAGTAAAAGTCTAAAAGGTTAAAAAGTAATCTTGATAATCCAATTCCAAAACATTTTGTTTCCCAGTTGCTCCGTCCTTAAAAATGAGTTTAGGACAACAGACAACAGTATTTTCTCTATAATCTTGGTTGTGACTCGCCCCATATCCCCAAATAAACAAAGCTCACGTGTGGAAAAGCTGTGTTGAGGCCTGCAGTCTCCTCCTGTCACGGGCCCTGCTCGTCTTCTACCTGTTCACACTTCAAAGTAACTGATCTACTTTGTTTGCCACTCAAGTTGAGAGTGTAAACAATTCTGGTAAGGAATTGGCTTCGGCCCCAAGGGGGTTCTGTAAGTGGGGATCCCTGCGTGTCTGCAGCCTGTCACCACACTCCTTGACACGAGGCTGGGCACACTGTGCCTCCTGCTGTTCAAGGCCAGAGGGGACACTGAGGCAGGGAACTGGCCCTGACCTGCGCCAGGCTGCCAGGCGCGGTGCCCTTAGGCGCCGCTGATTCCAAGTGGCCCAGCTACCGAGGGTGGGCTCGGGTTCACCACGTGGTGTGGCTTTGCTGTTCATTTTGACCACACCTCTCACTTTCACCTTCAAGCCTACACCTTGCCTTCCCATCCCTTGCTGCTCTTGGGTAGAGGTTACCTGTTTAGCCGGAGTGGTCAGCTCCTCTCTCTTCTTGGCTAGGGCCAAGCAGCTTAGCCCTGAGACCAGAGAACCACCCCCTCCTTGCGGGAGGAAGCCCTTCCACAAAGGATCTCCTGAGGGCTTCGACTTGGTGTGGTACCGGTTCCCCACTTGCAGCTAGAGGACCAGAGAAGTGCTCCGCGGCCCACAGTAGTGGGCTGGGACAAGCCGGGGCTCACCCTGCAGTGACCTCTGGTGCCTGAGCTGGGGCAGTGTTACTTGCTTGAACTCAGCCTCCCCCTGGTCACCTGGCAGGAGGAGGACACGCCTCCTGGTGCTTGTTGCCCTAGGAGGTTGTGTGGCTCAGGATTCCCACGCCTGTCCTGGCGGGAGCCAGACAACGGCATCTCAGCACTCCTGATCCCCCGTGGGGAGGCGAAATCTCACCTGCCAGCACCTGTTTGTTCTGTTTATGGTTGTGGGCTTTATCTCAGTAAACAATAGGAGGAAGCAGGATGCCGGGTTAGATCTGTCAGAAAAGCCTAGTATTAATGGCCGGACTAGCTAGTTCCTGAGCGTTTAGCAGGCGCCAGGCTTGACAACTTCGTTCTAGATAGGAAGCGTCATCGTGAGCCTCCCTGTCCAGATGAGGAAACAGGCTCAGCGAGGCTAGGTCACAAGGATGTCCCTACGAGTAAATGGAAGAGCAGGTGCGTTTGGGGTTATCCCTAAGATCTGTCCCCCTCCCCCCACTCCACTGCCTTCACCGGGGCCATGTGACTCAGTTTACATAGTCAAGAAACCGTTGGCCTGGATTGTAGCAAGGATTGTAGCAAGTCCACAGACGGCCCTGGCGGTACCCAAGTTGTTTGGACACCGCAGCCCTCGGAAATGATACCTGTACGGTCCAATGAAACGAAGGCAGAAACTTGCGGTTTCTGTTCCTAACCGGGCCGGACTGGGGGGCATTTAAGGGAGGCGGGAACTCCTTAGCGCTCTTAACCGCTCTTCAGCAGCCCGAGTGAGTGAACCTGACCCAAACCCAGGGGTCCCTGGGACTGGGCGGGAACCCCAGGGAGGGCTGGCGGGGAAGCGAAGCCGCGAAAGGCGGGATCCGGAGTGAGAAAGTACCCTGGAGTGAGGCGTAAAGGCCGAGTTAGCCCCCACCGCGTCCCTAGGGGACGGGGTCCAGTGCGTTAGCCAGGTGATGGCGCGCACGCTTCAGTGGGGCGCGTCGGGAAGTCGCGGCCGGCCCGCGGGCTACGCGTCTCCCCGACTGGTCAGGGCACAGGAAGGCTGCGTGGCCGGCCCGGCCTTCGCGGGCAGACGGGCCCGGGCGGCTCTCCAAACTGCGGAGCTCGGGCTCCCCTCCCAGCGACAGCTCCTGGAGCCTCGCGACATCGCCGGGCTAGAACATGGCTGCCGTTTGGGGTCGGCCCGAGCTACGGGCGCCAGCAGCGACTGGCGGACGAGTCCCGACGCTGGGGCGTCACCGCTTAGTCCAGCTGGGCGAAGACAAGAGGCCGCCGGCGGGAACGGCGCCGACAGCCCCGCCTCTTCCCTCCGCCGGACCAATAGAAGCTCGAGCTATACATGACTCACCGTGCCTGACCAATCAGCTTGACGCGCGCTCTCCGCCAGCACGTCGCGCGACAACCGGGCGGCCGCCGCCTTCACAATAAAACCTTGGGATGAAAGGCCGTCTCCCCGCCCCGAGCGGACATCGGAAGCGGGCGCGTCAGGAATCCCTCCGCGCTCCCTGGGGCAGAGGGAAGTGTGACTTTGATCTTAAAAGCCTTGTAAAGTAGTGCGCCTTTTTCCTTTCGTGATACCTTGAAAATGACTCATTTTCTCCTCACAGCTACACCATTTACATGAAAGTCATGGGTGGGAAACAGTAGAAGCGTCGGTTCGGTGAAAACGAGGCAAAAACGAGTGGGTGGAAGGCGCGGTCACGTGACCTCGGCGGAGGGATGGCGGAAGGATGTGCCTGTGATGCGGCCCGGAGTCTATAAAGGACCCGCGGTCGGCGCGCCGCGGCCATTTCTTCCCGACCAGCCTGTGAATGTAGCGTCTTCTCGTTGGCGTGATTTTGCTCGCTCCCGCCGGTCCGCGGCCGCCATGGCGTATTAGAGGCAGCAGTGCCTGCGGCAGCGTTGGCCTTTGCAGCGGCGGCAGCAGCACCAGGCTCTGCAGCGGCACCCCCCAGCGGCTAAGCCATGGCGTGAGTACCGGGCCCGCCGGGCTGGCCGTGCACTCCTGGGTCTGCGAGGGCTGGTGGCTGGCGTGGGCGCGCGGCATCACGGTGGGGAAGCGGTTTTACGAGCGCCCGGGACGCGCGGCCC